ACAACTCTTTAACTGGAAGCATTAATGAAATCAACTGATTTGCTCCAAGATATAAAACGCAGTCCAGATAGAGTTACCATTGCTGTAAATCATTCAATCAAGTCCTCAACGGCTTGTCTATTGGAATATTTTAGAGGATTGGTAATTTGACGTAGTTACTTTTGATTTGCAAAGTAGACTTTAATTGTGAGATCTACTCTAGAGTTTTAAACGAAAAATTTTAAAGTGAGCGTTTTTAAAGATGCCTTCTCCAAACCGTGAATTGCCTCATCTAGCTATCATGAAACTTTGTGCCTTCAATCTTTGTATGTTTGCCTTTCAGGATGAGACAAATACTCCTCGTTCTCCTGCTTAGCGCTAGCAGTGCGGCATTTTTGTTTCCGATGATGGGAGGCGGCGGCGGCGGAGGATGCTGTGAGATTCATTCATTTCTGATATGACCGAGAATTTACAATGTATAGAATTTGTAGGCTGTCCTGCTGCCGCACCACCACCACCACCTCCACCTCCACCCCCAGTACAGTCATGCTGCTGTGGGAGCTAGTTATATTTCCTGCTCTTTTTTCAGAACCACTAGAAATAAAGTAAAGAAACAAAGTAGAACGGAAAATGCTAAGAAAACTTCAGTTTCTTTTGATTTACCAAAATTCTCATAATCTCTTTGATTTTACTGCTAGATAAAAGATGAAAGCCTAAGCTTTTTTAATCATTTAAATTAGGTTGCGGTGGACGTAAAAAACGTGAGGCATTACCAGTCATTGCTCGTGAGCTCAGCAAGCGTGAAGCAGTGCAAGTCATCACCCATAAGCTAAAAAAGAAGTGTAATAGCAACAAACTCCTTGAGATTTTGAACAAGGTAAGGACTTATTTGAGCTGGATCGGGTTTTTGTATCTATTTATGGGTTTCTTTGTTTAAGGGAATGAAAGAAGACGCAGAACTAAGTTTGAAGGCAATAAGTGCAAAGCTGAAGGGTAGCAATGACTACGTCGTTGTCTGTAGTGAAAAGGTTGGTGTCAGTAAATAAAATCCAGTGTTCACAATTAGTAATTAACATTACCAAATGTTTCATACTTGGCAACAAGATGGCCTCCTCTTTGTGTATCATTTGCAGAGAACTTAGTGATTATCGCGAACAGATAAGAAATCTTCGCTTCAGGAACTCACATTTGCTATGGAAACCAGAGAATACTGTACTGTAGACCGCTCTACAGTAAAGTGCGGCATTTTCCGACACAAAGCAAAAACTACGGTAATCAAGTTTCTCTTCTAAAGTTAAGGTCCATTTTCCTTTGTTCAAGGAATCGATCACTGAGGAAAATGAGGAGGGTGAAGACAGCAATGAGGAAGACAAAGAAGTCGAGGATGAAGGAGAGGAAGAAATAGAAGATCGAACGGAAGTGATCATTAGAAAGGCTGACTAAGTTTTACCTTTGTCAATTGTACATATATGCAATATGTCTACATGTGTGGGCTTTATTTTATCATCCGTTGATCCCACGGATCATCATAAAGGAACTTTTGATAAGTTACAAAGAGTCGCGTTTGGCCTGATGGAGAATTCACACAATGAACGGCGCAAGCATTCGGTCTCTTCAACTGATTGGCGGAAGATACTATTGCGATGAAGTCAAATAAAAAATTTACTTTCATATCACATAAGAGGATTTTTGCTAATTTATGCACTCATCTCTGTTCTTAATTTGCAGATCCTATAACAGAGAGGGGTAACCCAGTGTGCATGAACACTTGATAATTATCCTGCTAGATACTTCCAATTGCTAGAAGGCTAACGGTAAAAAGCGTCTGTTTGCTTCTAAGAAAAACCTACAGTTTAT